GAGCAGGGGTGAGTACTTATGGGACTACTGTACTAGAGCTATCAATTGCGCTCTGCACTATCTGAGTTGTCTCACTAGTTAATGACCTTTTTTACAACAGTTACTGTTCATGTAAATTATGAATTTGGCTCAATTTAATTATAAAGAGCTCAGTTCTGTCAATAGCTTGTCCTTCTGTGAGGAAAACTCATTTTCGTCAAGAACACCATCATTGTTCAAACTCTTGAGGTCCTTCAGCTGCTGAAAGATGGCACTACGGATACCTGTCTAAACCAAAAATAAATTAGCTGATTAGTTAAAACTGAATACATGCAGACATAAAAAAATCCGTCTGTAGGATAAATGTTAAGATGCCAACCTTTTTTTCAATGTCCGTAGAATTTCCGGTGAATTCATTGCTGGATGGTTGGGTGTGTTTGACCGAACTTCTCACCTTCCCAGTAAAAAATGGGACACCCGGAGGGTTGTCTTTGTCGTCGTGGGTTCCGTTTACGTGAAACAAAAAAACAACCCCAATACCTGCATTTTAATTGCCACACAAATGAACTCCAAGATGAGCAGCAGTTCATTTCTTCAAATTTCATAAAATAGTAAGTACAGTAGGTATCAAGCAATGTTTTCAGGAAAATCAGAGATAAGTGATACAGAAGGAAAGAAATGTAATATCATATTTGCTTCCTGATTATCAAGCGCTTTGTTTCAGTGCATGATAATGTGTGCGTTACTCCATGTGCAGTTCATGCTATTTTTGTGTGCATATGGTTTGCCCAAAATTTTTATGAATAGCTGTCACATTTCTTCAACTCCTACTTTGAAAGTTAGTATTTTAACAATGTTACAAAATTAAAATGGTGTATTCTAATAATGAGAATTAAATTTGCCTAAGCTGACTGGAGGTGATCTGCAGGAAATGTAAATTTTCCTCACCATCATTCGTGCCCAGCATTGTAACTTGAATTCTGGAAGCTTGTGTTTTTTTTTCATAGTCTTGACAAGAAGGCGTCATAGCTACTCTCACTTCTTTCGTCACCATCTTCTTCACTTTCACTCAGTGCAGTAGTGGGGTTGGGTTTAGCTAACTTAGAAAATGATAACGAGAGTTAAAAAAACCCTGCATGCAAGTGCGGCAGAACATGGCTTGTTTTATAGTGTCTGTAAACAATACCTTTATGTGGGTCCACCCAAAAGGTTATGATGCCATGCTTTGCCAAGGATAACACCTCAGCAAGCTGGATCTCCGATGATATGGAGTACTTTTTCTTTCCCTTGGCATAGTACCCAATTTGGAATGTTGTGTCTGACGCAGGAGCGATTTCCCCTGTGCAGTTCTCGAGGAGGTTTTGCTTTAAGGTGAACACATTTTCACGTAACGGCACACCCTTTACTGAATAGGTGTTGTACCTACTCTTGTTTGTTTCTTTTAACACACACAGACAGATATTCATAGTTCTACCTTCCATCGCACTGAAAACTCATGAACTTGACAATGACACAGTGATCTACCACAACCCATAATGCCTTTCGGTATTGTTGCGTACACTTTAATGCTTTTATTGGACAACCTTTCTCGAAACAGCTGTACACTCTGTTTCCATCCCCAGAGAGACGCAGTTTGTTAGATGTCATGTGATGTGACCAAGGATGGCAGTCATTTTTCAGTTAACGCTACTTCTCCCATTTTCATGCGAAAAAAACTACTGTGACTGCATGTCTTTTGGAACTACCCCCAGGTCTGTTCAACAAATATCATCTCCCATTTTCAAACTACAATAATGAGTATGCCAAGGTGAAATAAAGAAGGGAAACGTATTGTTTCCCCATAATGGCCTGTTTATTTCTTCCTTTAGTTGTCTCTATGAGAAAGAAGGACCAATAATCTCCCGCGTCAGTGGCATTGAAACGTGTCAAATTGTAAATTTGTGACAAAGAAACCAAGAAAGTGCTCAAATATTGCTGCAGACTCTGTGGCACTTAATGAAAGTGCAAATTAATTTAGTCAGTCGTCATAAAGATCAGTCTTCATATCATTCACTGACATAGGACATATCTCGGCCAATTAGCGCTGTTCACCTTCAATGCTTCTCTGGAATCGCTTCTTAGTTGTATTAACTGATATCATGGTTTATTAATTTTGAATGGTTTTATTGTTAACAACAAAGGTGGCAACAGAATAAGAAAGTGGTATTCTGTGACTACTTGATAATTAAATTAGTTCTTGTTTATCGATAAAAAGAAAATTTGCATTTTGAGTAAATTAAAATTGTTTCTCTCCCATCATTATTGTCTTCATCAGATATTTAAGAGCCACTGCCCATAATAAGGACCAAACAACGGCATGAGTCGAAAAATTGATTTTGCTCATTTTTTGTCCATAGATTGGCCCTAGCTAGAGAAAAAGACAGACCATAGTTAGTTTCTGCTAATGCACCTTTTTTGGAGGAAATTTGCAGAAAATGATTTTCCCCTGATTGAGCTCAAAATCTACTTCCGGTTATGCTGAATTTTCTGAAAATTTGATTGCTTCACGCGTCTTTCACGAATCTTTCAATGGTTTCTATATTAAGCTCAGGTCTTCATGGTATGCCTGAACGAAAAATAAAATAAATCTAGGTTTCGTTTGAGCCCTAAACGAGATCAAACAGAAACGCAAAATATTACAATGTGTTGCAAATGAATTATAGCACTAAAATATCACCATATTTTTCTATGGGCTATAACTTTAAATGCCATAAAAAACACTTTCTACAGGTTAGCTATACACCCACCTGTTTGAAAATCAAAAAACATCTCTGGGCAAATGGTTTTAAGTCACCTGCCTTGGCCTTTGTTTTTCATAAATTTTAGGTAAAATCAGGGTTTTTCAGCCAGGCCTCTAAAAGCACCTGAAGAATAACCCAAGCTGATTTTAATACATGTTTTACAACGACATAAAAGTGCTCCAATGGCGAAGTTTCAAGGAATTTGGATTTATGACACATGTTGAAAAATATCTCTGAATTTTATCCATAAATTAGGAATTCGACCCAGTAACTGAAAGGGATTTTTTTAAAAATTGTGTGTTTATTCTCAAATGGCACTCAAGTCAAGTTCTACCTGTTTTGGATATCTGAATACTTTGTCTTCCAAGAAAAAGTATCGATAAGTGTTGGTTCTTCTTTACACATGAATGCAAATTAAGTTTAGATTACTACATGTAATTTTAAGCTTTTGCAATCAGCCATTTTGGTGACTGTGTAGGCAAAAATCGTTTTCTTCAATTTTCTTGAATTTAAAGCGCTTCTAGGTCCAAAAAACTACATCACGTTTCATATCTATCTTTGGGCTTTTTGTGGATGAAAAGAGAGAAAAATCGATTTTTCGACTTCTACTGCTAAATTCAAATTTTGCTTGGTTTTCGGTGACATTTGGTCTTAAATATTCCTAAGACTCTGTGGCAGCAAGTTAAACCGCAAATTAATTAGGTTAGACTTTGAGGCAACACAGTAGCTCTTTCGTTGACTCCTTGCGTGGTTCAAAGAAGTAAACTTATGACTCTCTTAAAGTGACTGGCAAAACTTTTCTGTAACTGACTTTTTTGACCAGAAAGGCTCTCAGGTATTGGGAAGGGTAATGTGACAAGGAAACTTCCCAAACTCTGCAGATTTCATGGCATCTTATAAAATTTATACAGTTTTTCATTTGTTTGGTTGTTTCAAGTTTCAAGTTAGGTAACACTGTTTACTTTCAATAATGTCTTCTTGTTTAAATGGGTTTTGAAATGGATATTAATTTGAAGTGGTTTTGTGGAATATCAAAACCAAAAAAAAGTACGATCATTGCTGGCAACAGAATAAGACCGTGCTATTTCATGATGATGTCATAATAAAATTGGTTCGTGTTATAAAATGAGTCAGAAAAATTATCCAGAATCCACTAATGGATTGTTAAAATCAAAAGCTCGATATCACGTTTCCTAAGGAAAATCAAATTCTTAAGTTGTTTTCTTTTTCACTGTACATCGTAACCAAACAAACTTGTTGGATTAACCCTATCATTACTGTTAAGAAGAGTCCACTGAGTGCTGCTACCCCCAGGGGCTTTTAATTCACACAAAAAATAACTCTTGCACATTTTGTGTGCCTATGTTTTTTATAAGGTTGCTGCACTTGCTATCAGCACAGCAAATGGACTATTACTGAAAGGGGGCAAAGAGGCTTACTATAGTAACAAGTGTCTGCATAGTCTTGTTGAAGAGGCTCTAGCAATGTTTGTTCCACCAGAGACCATTAGTTTGGTAAGTTTCTTTAATATATAGATTAAACTAAGCCTAAAGTTATTAATTATAATTAAGCTAACCCAGGATAAGCGAGAATTTTGATTTGAGTTTTGTAACTTTGCGGTGAGGTTTTCTCTATTTTGTTTGGCCTTCTGTTTTGAGTTTGAATAATCTCAAAATACACAAAACAAAAGCAGTAAAAAACATTTGTCTACAAGAAAAATTTATACCTCGGTTAACATTTAATCCTGGGTTAGCATTAACCAGCTGTGGAACAACCCAGCCCTGTTTACAACAAGGTAACCTGACATGAGCCCGCTATCCAACTGAAAACCAGCACTTGGTCAGTAGTCAACTTCAAAAAACCTGTTACCTTGATGAGCTCTAAACTTGAACCCCCGACATGGTCATGTGATACTGGTCAGCGGATACCTTGTTTTGATAAGTGTCAATTGACCATAACATGGATGTCCAATATCAAAGGAGGACAAGGCTGCATATCTCTTTCACCCTAATGGCTGAAGTAGGGCTGCCATCTTGTACAACTCCGTCATCGTCACTGTCATGCATACGACCCCACAAGCAATACTGCTAGCCATGATAACCACAAGAAAATCAATTCATGGGTTTCCTTTTCCTTCCTATATGAGTATGGGGCTCTGCTTGGCTTCGGGCCACCAGAACTCTGCTATAAATTTAAATGTCTAACCGGTTTATAGTGTTGTAAATAGATAGAAAACAGATCAATCATAGTAAGAGAGGAAGATACATTAGCCTTAGCTGCCTTCAAATTTTTGAGGAAGTTGTGTCACTGGTGGCTGGATGTTATCAGCTCCATGTACACCAGCAGTTTTATTGAGAACAAATGCACTTAAGGGGCATACCCAGGAATAATAGTGACTTGGAGGTGCTTTTGCGGGTTTGAAACTTGCGTCCTGAGGACCTCTTGAGGTTAGAACTTTTTGTGTTGACTGTGTTGGGTGAAACATAATGGTAAGGACTTTCTAAGGGTTTTCATTGCAGAGGGTACCTAAACATAATTACCAATGTATGTTGTTTGTATACTTTGCTTATGGTTCTTCTGTATTATGTACCCTTTTGATAGGTCAGTACTCGAGAAGATGTAAATGATCTTCTTCAATTGGATAAGTATGTGGACTTAGTTATTCCACGGGGTTCCAGTGAGATGATTGAGCGTATTCAGTCAGAGAGTAAAGGAATTCCTGTGCTTGGACATGCTGAGGGTATTTGCCATGTGTATGTAGATAAAGATGCTGACCTCGAAATGGCAACAAATGTTGGTAAAGTATCAGTTTTATGTTTTATTTTAAATATAGTAATTTAAAATGATTCCATTGAAAAAGAGTATCTAAAGTTTTGTAAGACTTGGTCCAGTTTGAAATTGTGTTATGGCTATTATGATAAAATACATAGAAAATGGTGATCACCGTGCTCTTTCGCACAGATTGGGTGGCCGTAATGATAACTATTCGACTTGCAAAGTTTCCTTAGGGACCCTGGTAACTATAGCCCACATAGCAGGCGTTAAAACGGGAGGGGGAAGAGGAGGCAAAGCACACATGGAAGGAGGGGGACTGGGAGAAAGGAAGAATGCTTGCTATAAGAACCCCCTTGTGTTCATTTCTGCATTTGCTGAGAATGCAAAATTCCTATTGACTAATAGTTAGTAACTATTAATTGTTAGTTGCACAATCTCATCAAAAACAACCAACAATAGTCGCGGACGAAGATACATAAGTAAGAGATTTAAATCTTGCTAGTGTGAGCAAATGTACGTTAAATTTACGTGAGCAAATTTATGTTAAAACCAGAGCAAGAATCGATCGTGACAGCTCTTTAAGCTGGATGAGCTGTTTCTGACAGTTTTGCCTGCAAGATACTGCAAAAGTCTAATTTGTCAAATGTTTGTTCTTGCCAAGAGCTATGAACTGAATGGGAAAGCGTTGATTCTTGTTATTTGACCTTTGAAAAGTAGCTTTGAAAGACCAGCTGCAGGAGATGGAATCACTAGGCTATGCTTCTGCCGATTGCTCCAATTTTTCGGTGTTATTCGCTGTTGGGAATTTTAAATACTAGCTATCTTCCACTGCCTGGCAATTCATGGCCGAAGCAGCTTTGGCGTTGCTAGCCTGCTTGAATTTCAACCATCTGTATAACAGTATAATTCTCCGGTGTTTCTGATTTTGCAGCCACAACTTCTACAGATACGTTTAGACTAGTTTTCCATTGAATTAAAGCAAGCAGAAGAACAAAAGTTGGTCAACACGGTCTCTGGACTTTGTAAATAAAATTTCAAAAGATGCTCTCTGCTTTTGCACCAGGCTCGATACCACAGAACTTGCAGAAATTATTGCAACCGTATTCCTTCTTTTTATTCCATATTTTTTAACTCTTTGTGGGAGTAGAGCAACCTCGCTCCCAGGGTCTCTCATCTNGCCCTGGTTGGGTCTGGTTGGGTGTCTCCCAGAATCTGGGAGATTTCAATTAAATTATTGAAGGGAGGGTCGCCCTAGTAGGAATTTTGTCTATACTTAGCCTATGGGAGTGCAGGATGAGTTGTGACCAACATAAACCAGGAATGATATGATGTTCTGCTTCCTCCGATAGAGGAAATCCAAGTTGCTGTAGGTTGTGTGGTTTGGTTCAGTTAGGGATGTTACATATTTTAAAAATCTCCTC